GATGGGTGGTCAATTGACTCGGGTGAAACAAGGCATATCACCACAAGCAAGGAGCACATAGTAAACTTTAGAGGGAAGAAGGTTGGTGATTGGAAGCTCTATATGTGAAACTCCTCTTGGGTCCACATTCTTGTGAGGCGACCGTGAAGCTTCTTTTTCCTAGTGGGAGTACTCTTTCCCTTAATGATGTCTTCTATACCCCTGACATGAGGCGTAACCTCATTTCCTTATCTAAAATAGATAAGAATGGGTTTGAAGTGAATGAAAAAGCGGGGAAAATGACTTCTTTTAAGGATGGTGTAGAAATAGGTTTGGCCTTACTTTGCGGCAGTTTGTATAAACTTGAGATTAATAAAAAATGAAATCATCTTCCTCTTATATTATTGATTCTCTTTCCAAGAAAGCTTCAATGCATGGCATAGAAGGTTAGGACACATAGTATATGAAAAATTTTCTAGAATGATGAAAGAAATATTAATTCTTTATGAAGAAAAAGATAACTTTAAATATAAAACTATTTAAAAGAAAAGAATCATAGAAAACCATTCCCAAAAAGATTAAGGGTTGAAAGTGTTCTACACATTGTCCATACAGATATTTGTGGAAGATTAAATGCTAAAACCTTTAAAAGACATGAATATTTTATCACTTTCATTGATGATTATTCACAATATGCATATACATATTTGATTTCTCATAAAAGTGAAGCTTTTAGAAAAATTCAAAAGCATATAAGATGGAGGTAAAAAATCAACTAGATAGGAAGATTAAAATTTTGAGAAGTTATAGTGCTGGAGAATATACTTCACTTGAGTTTGAAAATATTTGTAAGGAATATGCGATTATTAGACCATGCACACTCCCTTATATACGCCAACAAACCAGTATGGCTGAAAGTAGAAATAGAACCTTACTAGAGATGGCTAATTCTATGATATAGGAAGCTAATGTATCTTACCAATTTTGAGGAGAAGCATTGTTAGCCTCAACTTATATATTGCCTCAACTTATATATTAAATAGAGTTCCTAACAAATCTACAAGTAAAACATTTTTTGAATTATGAGTTAATAGAAAACCTTATTTAGATCACATTAGAGTTAGTGGTTGTCTAACTCATGTCCTTAGCCCAATTTGAGAAAACTAAGACCTAAAACAATTAAATGCACTTTTGTTGGGTACTCTAGTCACTCTAAGGATTATAGATTTTATGATCATGAGACTAAGACTATCATAGAAAGTAGAGCTGCTCATTTATTTGAGGATGAAGAAATGCCGAAGGGAAAACAACCTAAAATTATAGAAATAAGAAAAGAAGAAATGAGACAACCTAATAATTTCTATGAGAACCCTAATAGTATTAACCATATTCCTATTATGATAGAGAATAGGAGAAGTACTAGAGAAGCAAAAAGACCTAGTTACTTGGATGACTACTATGGGTAGAATGTAGAAGTTGATGATGAGTCCATGAGCCTTAAAGATGCCATAAGTTCATCTGCGGCATCCAACTGGACGGTGGCAATGCAAGATGAACATAACTCATTGATGAAAAATGACACATGGACCTTAGTAGACTTGCCAGAAGATCATAGAGTGATTAGCTGTAAATGGGTTTATATTAAGAAATTGAACCCTGATGGAACAATTGATAGGTATAAAGCTAGACTGGTTAGTAGGGCTTTTACCCAAGTAGAAGGGCTAGATTATAAAGGAACTTTCTCCCGTGTTACTATAAAGTCATCAATTAGGATTGTATTAGCAATAACAAATTATTATAACTTTAATATACATCAAATGGATGTAAAAGACAACATTCCTCAATAGTGAATTAGAGAAAGAGATTTTTATGAGACAACCCTTGGGATTCGAGTTTAAAGGGCAAGAAGGTAAAGTGTACAAGTTAAAGAAATCTCTTTATGGCCTTAAACAATCGTCAAGACAATTGTATTTGAAGTTCAATGAGGCACTAAAGGACTTTGGCTTTAATGTTGACTATATTGCGTATAAAACCAAAGTTGTGGGGGTAGTCATCTTATTTTGGTTTTATATGTAGATGATATTATCATTACAGGTAGTGATCGTAAGATTATTAAAGATACTAAAGAATGATTATCTTCACAATTTGAGAAGAACGACTTGACCTAGATCAGGTTCTTGGCATGCAAATTGCAAGAGATAAGAAGAAAAAACTATTCTACCTAAGCCAATAATTATATATTGTAAAGATACTAAAAATGTTTAAAATGGGTGAATCTAAACCAATGGGAACTCCATATGAGAAATGGTGCAAACTGTCTAAGGAAATGTGTCCAAAGACTGATAAGGAGAATGAGATTATGAAAAAGATTCCTTGTACACAAGCAGTAGTATCATTAAAATATTTGATGAACTGCGCACGCCTTAACATAGCATATGCAGTGGAGGTTGCTAGCTGTTATATGAGTAACTCAGACATGAAACGTTGGAAGCTTGTAAAGATAATATTTAGATATCTAAAAAAGACCACCAGTTATAAACTGTGCTATGACGATGATAAGTTAGAACTGCAAGGCTACAAAACTGAGCTGGTACAGATGATGAATTCAGATCTACATCTGGATAGCTTTTCACTTATGGAGGAACATGTATATCATGGGGCAACCATATACAAAAGAGTATGACAAAATCAACTATGGAAGCATAATATGTAGCCTTATATGAGGCGGCCAATAAAGCAATATATTTAATAAAATTGCTCAGTGCAATACCATTGTCCAAGTTTGAGAGCATTCCAATAGTTATTCATTATGATAACCAAGTTGCCATAGCTATTTCTAAATATCCTATGTATCACAATGTAACAAATCATATTGATAGAAAGTATCATTTTGTGAGAGAGTATGTCTTACAAAAGGATATAGAAGTAATGTATCTTCACACAGATTTCATGATAGCTGATACATTGATTAAGGGTCCCAACATAAATACACATGAGAGGTGTGTATGGGATATACGATTGAGATTTACATGTTTCTTGTGATAGCCCTATGATGAGCCTTAGTGGCGTAGCTATTGAGCATGTAGAATATTATGTGATTACCCTTTGCCTGCGTGGCATATCTGCTTTTATGGTGATGAAGCTTGTGTGGCATGTGTAAGTGCCCTCCAAGGGTGGTTAGGTTACGTCTTTGGACATTTAATAGTTCATAAATGTAGCAAAATCCCTTGAAGTCACGAGACTAGATTGGACGGTTATACTTGCCATTGATTATTGAGCATGACTTCCAGCTAGTAGACTTTTGACTCCGTGTTCCGCACTATAATGGCTAACTTGGATATACGAACAGTTGAACATGACCTCCAACTAGCAGTTTTTGACTCTGTGATTCGCATTGTGATGGCTAAACTGGACAATTGTATTTAGCATGACTCACTGAGCACGTAGTTGGCATATTTTGTAAACACCGTTTTCACTTTGTGATGGCTAGTTTGGATAGTTTGAGGATCCTTATGAGATCATGTCATGATTCACTGTGTTGATGGTTATTCACCTTTTTAGGTGATAGAGATTCCTTGGGTGATGTACTTTTCATGGTGTCAGTGTCGGATGATTTTCGGAGGACACTAGGGAGAGAGAGAAAGTCCACTGATCTAAAAGTATGTAGGTGAAGTTCATGATATGGTTGATGATCACGCAATACGTCATGACAATTGATGAGCACATGAATATATGGTTGACGCCATTGAGTGGATGGATCATATGTGTGGATGGATTTGTTGTTTGAGGATGTACTACTCAATCAACTTCTATATAGCTATTAAAAGTTGGTCATTCTCTCTCTATACATGTCTCTCTCATTTTCTCTTTGTGACTATATATGGGGAGTGATTTTGGGAGGCCAGGGCTCTTTTGCATGAGCTCTCTCTCTCCCTAAAACCTCTTTCTCTCTCTTAAGCTTTCTTGTGAGCTCAGTATTAGGGACATGTTTCTCATCTCTGTGAGAGCCCTATAGTGTCACACGATAATTTACAGCACTGTGTCGCATCTCACAATAGTTTTTCTCTCTAGGTCATTTGCTAACCACTGTTTTTTAGTAGTCTTATCTTCCCTCTTATATAATATACTGTTGGAAAACTCATTCTCAACAAGACTCTCTATCTAGAAAAGCTACAAAACTATGCCCGCAAATCCATATGAATTTGGTGAGTTTGTTCTGATTTTTTTTTCCCTCATATTTTGCAATTGAAAATAGACTTGAAGGTTGATAAAGGTTGCATGAGCAAAAGAAAAATTACTGGCAATCATTTAATTTTGTTGGAATGATTTAGCTGAATGTTTTATGGGTACATGATTGCTGGAAATTATTTTGGGATTTGCTTAGAAGAGTTTTACAATAGTTGCAATTGATTTTAGATTTTGATTCTTTTGTGGATAACAAAGTTAGTAACCTTTGTTCATCTTCTTGAGTCAAGAAATTTACGACTTTTTGTGGGTGTTTTGATAGAGTTGTATGCCATATGTTTGTTAATATTTATGGTTGAGTTCACACTTGTATGTTATTTTAGCTCTATTTATTTTTTTAAACAAAAAAGATTCACTGTATTTGGGCGAACAAAAACCCCATAAAAAATCTTAGGAATATAAAAACACAGAAAGTATCAATATATTGGTTAGAGTATTTTTATATTATTTTGATAGTTTTTAAGATGATTTGAGAACTTTCATATTTTTCACTTCACTTTCTTTTAATTTTTCTTAAATATTCAAGGTATAAATCAAAATTTGAATAGTCCATCTTTTATAGATCTTTTTTATCTTCTTTAGTCTTTTAATGATTTCTATTAACTCTTAGCTTTTTCTTATGTTTTTGGTATTTGTTAGAGATGTTGTGTTATTTTTTTTCCTTTTTGAATTTTCCTACATTTTACATGTGGGTATGTACTCACTTTGGACTGGGCCGAGTACCTTGCCTGAGGCGATTTTCAAAACCCTATAAAAAGGGTCTTTGAAGATGGAGAAACAGAAAAATATTCATTTTTTCATATCAATGGAGCATGTACACTAAACAACAAACTACAGTGAGTAGACTCTCTCTCACTCTGCCTTTCTCCTCATGGTATGCGGCTCGCATTCTTGTAGTAGATGTAGTTATTAGCCAACCAGACATACACACAAAAGGAAATGGTGTTTAGCAGAGCTAGGAACCAGTAGAAGTAATCAATGTGCGCCTGGTTGAGGTTATCAACAAACCAACTCTCCCCACCACCTGCTGTGCTCATCTTTTCAACAAGCGCAATCAGTACACTGCTCAAAAGACTCCCCAAACCAATGATACTAAGGTACAAAGCACCCCCCAAACTTCGCAACCCATCGGGCATTTGGCTGTAAAGTAACTCTTGCAATCCCACCTTGGTGAACACATCAGCTGAACCAAATAGCAAATATTGTGGTATCAACCAAGAAATACTCATGGGAACTGTAGCGTTTGGTTCGTCTAGCAAGCCATGCTCCTTTGCAATCTCGAGCCTCTCCGATTCTACTAGAGCCGATGCTACTATGGAAACAGTTAGTATCACAAGTCCTGCACCGATCCTCTTCAATTCCGTTATCCCACTAGTTTTTCCTGTGATAGTACTGGCGATTGGGACGAATAGGCAGTCATATAAGGTGGTTATGATCACTGAGGACATGCCTATGAGAGCGAGAAGAGCAGGGGGTGGCACTTGGAAGGTTGAACCAAAGGTTCTCTCCATCGTCTGGCCTTGCTTGGTGAAGAAGGTGATGCACTGTGCGTAAATTGTAGCATAGGTAAGGCGGCTGGCACAGATAGGCAGAAATTGCAGTAAAAGCTTCACTTCTTCAACTTGAGTAGTCGTGCAGAGTCTCCATCTATTCTTGGGAAATGACTCGTCAACTAGATCATCTGGAACAGCTGCTTTGTCCAACCACCTGCCAGTTTTCTTTCTAATTAAAAAGATTCATAAAATTTATCATACAATAAATAGAAGTGTAGTTAACATGAGGTTGTTTAATGAAGAGATATTACTACAATATACTGCCTTCTGTGTGTGCCTTTAAGAGATAAGCTAAGCATATGTTGGCATATTAAAATGGGATAAAAGAATATGCTAAGACAAAAAAGAAAACAAATGTTTGGTTATAATGTGTCATTAGGGCATGAGAAATTTAGATGGGTTATTGGGTGCATCAATGTGGCACTGACTCTGTTTACCTAAGTAGATAGGGGGAGAAAATAGAGAGCAAGTGGGATAAGTTATCCCTCTCTATTCCATTTCTCTCTACCATGCTGGAGTTTTCGACAGTACACACCACCTATGGGCATGCATCTTGCCATTCATTAAGTATGATAAAACCTTAAACAACCAGGCCTGATGACTGCTTAACCAAGTGTATCAATATAATATAATGCTTAATGCAATGTCAACAAAAAATTGAAACAAAATGTTCTTTCATAAGTCTGATCATTGATCACCTTGTACTAAGATACTTTCCTGAAGTCTATGTTGGTCAATTGATGCATTGCTTCATACTTATAGTGATGCCTTCTCCACCAGCCCCTTTCTTTCATATATTCCACTACATTCGTGTAAGTTATGACCCATACATGTGTACCTAACAAGCCCATGCAATATTAATACATGTAAATTTATGCAACATACAAATCACTGTAATTGCACTCGAAAAAATAATTCTCTATGTTTGATCAAAGGTATATGCTGGAACTCCTTATATGTGTGTTTGTTTTAGTCTATGGGAATATGTCTAGAGCTACTACTAGCACACTAGTGCAGTTTTCTCAATGTTAGAGGGGAAAAAGTGGTGCTCATGGGACAAATCAAGGGGTTTGGAAGATATTAATGGGTGAAGAACAGAAAGGTTCTAACTTTGTGCTGATAGATCTGCTGTCCTACATCAAGCATTTTGCTTCTTCAAAATGAAGCCCAACAGATGGTTCCCCTCACACCCCTCCCTTCCAATGGACAGATGGGAAGGGCAGGCATATGTGTATTACCTAGATATGAAAATAGGAGGAATCCATGATCATACTAAGGGTCTGTCAAGGACTAGTGTGTTCACAAGGTTGAGGCTTAGGCCCTACTCAAAGGTCTCTATCTCATTCAGTAAACAAGATATATTGTTTGAATGTAATAGTGATGGAGGGAGACAGATAAAACATCCATCCTTGGTATACCTTCCCCAAATTATGAGTGTATAATACATGAGATCTAGAACTTTCTGGATGTTTTGAATGTTTCTCTTATGCATGCGAAGGGGACCACATCACAAGGAACCTCCATAGCCGAATAGGGTGTTTTTTTTCCGGTAATTTAGTGGGAAAGACAGGCCCTACCTGTTTTTTTAAGTAGATTAAGAGATAAATTTTTGAATGTGTTGGTGGTAGGAATAGAAACCATAATATGGTGACTAGATGTGGGGATGCTACTACCACAACCCCAGCCCCTTTCATGCCAAACCAAATAAGGTGTTGATGGGGCTATTTTACTCATTCAATATCACATCTCTTACGTACACTTAGTTTTGTAAAAGGAAAATATACGATAAGATCATTTACTTTTAATGCAAAAATGAATAGGGGTATGTCATTGATCATAAAAAACACAACATTTTATTTCAAACAAAATTTGGCAACAATAGGCACTTTACAACTCCCACTCTTCTCTATATTTGTCTTTTTAGAACTCTATGGCTAAATGGCCTCTCCTTCTTTTTAGGGTGCGGTTTGTATAAGGATGAGGCCCTAGATAATCAAAGTTAGGTGCACCTTCAAATAGTGTCGAACGATGTTGTTTTAGTACTGAAAATCTTTGTGATGGCCTGAAAATTTATTTTCAACTTTATTATAAAATTTGAAGCTTGAAAAATAGTATAGATGGTTTAGATATATGACACTTAAAAATCTTGAAAATTGACAGTTGAGAAAAAATATTACAAAATGCCCTATGTCCAAGACTTGAAATCCATTTTTTCTCATGTTCAAACCATGGTTACTGAGAGCACTCAACTAGGGTGGTGCTCTCGCTCCGAAATCTAGCTCCGGCGCTTCGTGGCTGGAATCTCTGTTTGAAGACATTTTTCAGCACCATGGGTCAATAAAATAGAGAAGCCGGTGCTTGACAAACAGTGAAAATTTTGACAGCCTGAGAATGGCCATAGAATGGGTCAAGATCTTCATAATGACTCCAAAAATTCTCACGCTTAGTTTCGTCGCACTCCGACATGTCTAAGGCAGTGCAAACTAAGAAATAGTTTCGGCAGAATCAGCCTTTGGTACCTTGAAACGGACCCCTATAACTGGAACCCTACTTTTGGAGCATCAAACGGTCGTAGGGACCACCGCCATTAATTCCGACACGGTTGAAAACCCCCAGGGGTCAAATTTCAGGTTAAATGGACACTCCAAGAAGAGGCTATGGGTAAAAGATCAAAACAGGAGGAGCCACACACTATTCCCATGTGGCCACCCAGCAAGTAATCACCATTAAAGGGGCAATTAGTGACTTGAGATGCTCATATCTCACTCGTTCGAGGTCAGATCGTACTAAAATTTTGTGAGCATGTTCATCTCGTTAGGACATGCGTTTCGATATGTGCACGCCTTGTGATGATGCCCAAGTGCGAAGAAAAGCAGAGAGAAGTTGTTGATCCGTGAAGAAAGTTGCAGGAAAATCAGCAACGATACGTCTCGCTCAAGCGGCCAAATCACGAGGCTCGCGATTCCGATCGACGTGAAACTAGTTGCATTGCGTGCGTAAGGTCCATGGTTATCACTGGTCCGAGCCCCGTGCATGATGGACGGTTGAATTTTGGACATGAAGCCGATGAAGTGACTGTAAATTCTGGCATAGGAATTCCATATTCTGACCAAAACTCCATAGTTACAAAATCCTCGTCTGGACACGAAATCGAGCTGCGTTTATTGCCACACGATCGTGACAGCATGCTCAATGGGATCCAACAAATAAATCACAGAAAAATATCAAGGAACGAGCACACTATCGATCCGAAGTTTGTAAGATTCATCCAAAGTTCAAGTCACACGATCGTGGCTTAAAAACACGATCCATACCTCGAAGTTGGTATCAAATCGATTGCCATGCCGAGCCATACAAGAAAATAATCATCTTTCGGAAAAACGGGCATCAGAGCAACCTCGGATCACCCATGAAAGATCACACACATTCTAAGGTAGCAACAGGGATTGTTATGAAATTTTCCTAATTGTTAAGAAGCGGAAACTATGTCGTTTTTTCCCCTATTTTTTTATTTTATTTAATTCAATTAAATCTTAATTTTCAACAATTAGGTTTATTTTGATTAATCCACCCATGTTTGGGCAAAACTCTATATATATCACGTACTATCATTGTACATGGAAACATAACTTTTGCTTAATAAAATTGCCATCTCTTTTCATTGTTGGGTCAATTTTTGAGAGAGACAGGAAGGAGAGAGAAACTTTTGAGTCTGTACCCCTAGGCTTAAGGTAAATCTTTCTCTGTCTCTTCTCTTCTTCCCTCTCTTCTTCTCTCTACTCTTCTCTTTCTTTTTCTTCGTCTGAGCTTTTCTCAAAGGCTATGCGTGGCAGTGGCAGTGCTGTGCATGCCTCTTCCTTTCTTTCCCCCTCCTGTGGTTTCACAGGTCATGTATGGCGATGGCAGCTCCATGTGCGAGCTTCTTTCTCCATCTCATCATTCGTCTCTATTTCTCAGCGAGGTTTGCAGACGGCGTCGCTTATCGCCGTCTGCAGGCATATCCTTGGTGTCCTGCGTAAGCGCAAACGAAAAGCTATTGTCGTGCGCTTCATGAAAAGCTATCGTCGTGCGCCTCACCAGAAGCTATCGCCGTCCACAAGGGATGTGCTGCCTTCTCGTATTGCGAATGGCGATGCCTATCGCTGCGCACGGAGGTATGTGCTGCCTTCTTGTGTTACCAACGACGATGCTTAACACTGTCTGACGTTTGCTGCCTGCCCCTTTCACCGTGAGCAGCAATGTTTAGCGTCGTCCAGGGATCGTGACATTGCTACTCCACGACTGTGGGTGGTAATGCTTAACGTCGTTGGGACCCTCCCTTTTCGCCGTCTCACCCCTTCTTTTCTTCTCTTTTCTCCTCATTCTTGCTTGATTGAAGGATAGACTCAGTCTAGCACTGTCATAGTGGTCTGGTTGTCGACTAGTATTATCGTCGTGCTAGTCCTAAGTACCATGTCCGTCTTGCTGCCACACCAGATTGGGATAGTCATGTTGGCCTTGGTTTCTAGTAGTATTGTTGTCGTGTCGGTCTGAGTTGCCGTGTCCGTCATACTACCATTTCGAGTCGATCATCGTACTGGTCCAGCTATCGTGCTAGTCTCGTCCCCTTATCAAGTCCTCTTCTCTTTTCTTTCTTTATTCGAACCTCCTTCTTCATCACCATAACTTCTCATCTTCTCTGTTAAATGAATGTGCATTACCCTAAGACAAGGGTGGGTCTTTCGGCCCACTTAACTTGCAAGTTAACCATCATAGTGTTGTCCAGAAAGCAAGGAGTCGCAAGTCAAGGGAGGAGATTCCAAACCAGCTGAAGCAGCTGGAGGGCTTTCCGTCGTGATCTAAAAGGGCACCCGCGTGAGTTAACTCTAATAAGTCACGAACCTAGGTGAGGTTGATCCCTACCTCACATTCAAAATTCCTCTCTCACCAGTTGGGCACCTGCCCTTGTTCTGTGAACGAGGTTCCCGAGAGAGCGGTCTCAGGTCTTGGGTCTTCTAAACCTGAGACACGTGTCACCCAATCACCTAGATCTGGGGAGCCGAGATCGAGACACCTAACCAGCTTGACGACTCTACTGGGGACTTATTACCCCTTCGTCAGTTCGCTCTTGCTTGATCACATCACCTTTTACTTTCTGCACTATATTTCATGGCA